CAGGAAAAAAGTGAGCTGTCAGGAACCCCAGACACCACTGCTTCAGGGAGTTCTGGGAGAGGGGATGTGAGCGGAGCTGACAGCCAATACAGGATCCCCCACCTCTTTATTTTTCCTAGATTTCATAGATTTCTAGGTTGGAAAAGACCTTAGAGATCATCGAGTCCAACCGTCCCTAATCCCCATTAAACCATATCGCTAAGTAGATCATCCACCCTATTCTTAAACACATCCAGGGATGGGGACTCAACCACCTCCCTGGGCAGCCTATTCCAGTGGCTGACAACCCTTTCAGAGAAGAAATACTTCCTAACATCCAACCTGACCCTCCCCTTACTGAGCTTATACCCATTTCCTCTTGTTCTATCACCCAACACTAATGTAAAGAGCCCTTCCCCTACCTCCCCACCATCTTTTCTCAAGTATTTGTAGGTTTTTGCTGATGGGAGTCACAGTGCTTCTCTCTTCTGTAGGCTTAACTCGATATGTTTTTAAGGTTGCCAGTCTCGAGGCAGCACCTGCAGAGCAAACCTCACTGCTGTTCAGTGGGTTCAAGGGGCTGAGAAGGGAACGGGGAGGAATAGGTGTGGACTCTGCTAGTCTCGGCTGTGTCTCACCCCTCAGCCTGCTCTGTGCCAGTGTGTCTGCCTGTACAAAGGATACACACAAAGCACGTGTGCAGAAGCGATAGCTGTTCGAGGCACTCCCAAACGGCACCATCCACTCTGCCTCTTACCCCGGTGCCAGAACTAGTAGTCATCATGCACCAGTTTAAAACCAGCTCGTCAAAAAAACACATAATTTGCCTTCATGATCAATGATGCTTATGGAGGGGAGAGGCAGGAAGGTGTGCCCACGGATGGGCAGGAGGGGAGGCAGTGGTCCTCGGGCAGATCAGCTTTAGCCAGCAGTAAACTCAAAGGCTTATTGTATCATAAGCCACTGTGCTGTTTAAAAGCAACTTTGCAAATATCTTTGGAACCCAGCCTGACTTTACTAGTGTCTCATAAGGACACTTCATGCTGAGACGTCTTCAGTGCCTAGTTTATAAACATTTCAGAATAACATCTGAGGTTAATTACACTCGTGACTCCATCAGTAGGAGCCACGTGACCTTTCTAGTACCGAGTATGCTGTCACTGTGTTTTTATTTTGCTCTGAAGTGCCACGGCCCAGGATTCCGATACCTGCACAGGTTCTGGCCTGCGTTTCAGCTGCATTGCTGAAGCACCACGGCGGAAGAGATTATTTTACAGCCCCGGGAGCTGATTCGCAGCTGAGCCACATTACTTAGGCTTTGTGCCACGGGGAGGAACGTTGCCATCTGTATGGAAGCCTGGGATATGATGTCAGAGATGGGCTGTGATAAGAAGGAGGAATCAGGTGTTGAGAGGAACAATGCAGGCTCTGCTGGTATAACTGCTTGCAGTTCAGAGCCTATTAAAGCTCTCCTAAGCCAGCTCTAGCAGTGGCACATCGAGGAGAGATACTCAGTCACTGGAGGGTGTGCTGTGCAGAGCAGTTGCCTTAAAGATGGACACAGACCCTCATAACTGGGCAGTGGTTATTGTTCAGCAGCCACAGTGCCTGCTCTGTCCATTCTCTGGACAATCTATGAAGGCATTATTTCTGCACCAAAAGGCAGGAGGAACCGAGAAGGGGACAAAATTTACGCAGGTAGGGGCACAAAAAGCAGCCCGTGAGCTTGACTGACTGCAAAGAGTGGAGCCAGAGCAGGAATCTGGAAGGATCTGGGAGGGTGCCAAGGGCACCTTATAGGGCAGAGTGAAGTAAGTGTTTGGAAGAGGTGAGGGGAAGCTGAAGCACAGCCTAAGAGCAGTGGGGATGGGGGGAGAGCCCAGAGCTAAGGAAGTGACACAGTCCTGTCCACGGACAAGGGAAAATAACACGAGACTTACCTTTCTTGTTCTGTCAGCATCTGGTTGCCTGGATCTCCAGTATAAAGCATTTGAATTTTCCCTGTCATAACTTGTTTTTACCACCAGATTTCCTAGCCTCAGGGTGGCAGAGGGAAGAATTTACAAGTAGATTTGAAGCAACTCCTGGGAGAAAGGCATGATCCGCTTTTTACGCATGACAAACTGGGTCTAGCTGCCTTAATAGGAGACACTGATTTAATGGTGATTACTCCTCTATGGTTACTTGAGCTTTTAAAAAGTATGTTCAGATGCACATAAGGTCATTAGGACCCAACTATATTTAGGAACTCACCTAGTTAACATTGGACTGGACTCGGTAAGCAGCGTTGGACTAAAGCACGCCGAAAACCCGGCTGCGTCGGAAGGAAATCGGAGCGTAGACTGGGCCTTGTACCTTCCTTGCTTTAGACAACGTAGTGCAATCAGAACAAAAGTCAAGTGCTAAGGAACTTAGCTGGATGTTTTTCTCTCTGATGAAACATTCTTACCGAGTGTTAATTGCTGTTAGCAGGGAGTGATGTTATCCCTATAGGAAGCTCATCTCCGGGAGCTTTGGAGGGAAAGGAGGTGTAGAAATCAAAAAATGAACACGCAAGATGTAAAATTTTGGAGCCGTTGAAAACCACTGAACGGAAAACTGTTGCCAAGCACAATACCTGGATATGGGGGCAGGGAGCAGGGAGTGGTTTCCAAAGCCTCTGGAGAGTTTTCAAGCCCAAGACTCTGAGCATAGACTTAGTTTAAAAGACAGCTTTGAAATTTGTACCTTGCCTTTGAATTTCTCTTGAATGTGTCTTGTGGTCAACTCATGTGTGGCTTGAGGTGGAGCAGAGCAAAACAAGGACCGGTGAAGCAGACTGTGCTGCTGACAGCAGCTTAGAAAGTCCAGGGTTTTGGGTGAAACACACAGATTATCTACACATTGAGAAAAAGACCCTTGCACTGAGCTAACAATCTACATTTATGTGTGTTTCCCACTGCCCCAGAGACCCCATTATGCAACAGGTCATTACTGTTTGTTTGAAGGCTTATATTTTAAGAATCCAAATCCAGTTATACAAAGCTTTGTAAAACCCAGGATTTATCTGGGTAAAGAAGTTCAGTAACAGATGCACATGGCCAGAGCTGCTGGCACAGAGCATAGTCCTCCTCAAAGCTAGGTCATCTGCAGCCTCTGACAGCTTAGATGGCAAAGTAACACTGGCTTCTATTTTTCTTTACCCCCAGTGTCTGTTGGCAGAAGCAGTCAGACCTGGACACTGCGCAGCATCTCCTTTATCCCCAAAATGAGAAACAGGCAAGTAGAGAAGTTTACGGTACGGATATGTGACCTTTGTGCCCCTGTGATGAATCAAACTTGTTGAAATTGATTGAATTTTAGAAGAAAATTTCAATTTGTATGAGACAGAGGTGGGTGCCTCATGACAGCCCCAAGCCTTGGGTTATACTCAGAGCCCAGCACATGGTAGAAGGTGGGACAAAACCGCTGTCAGACTGTCTTCCACATTACAGCAGTGGCACCATTTTGAATCAAAATATCAGGAGACTCATAAAGATTCAATATTTTCCATAGATGTCAGTTACTTTTTATGAAGAATCAACACTTAGTAAGATGTCTGTGATCCTTGTCAAAAATAAGTGATGGGAAACGTTCATTCAGCCCTACTGCCAAGCTGGTGCACATCCTAAGTTCGGGAAGTTTTGTTTCAGAAGCCCAAACCCAATTGGAAGAGGAGAAATGAAGCCATTAGCCATTTTAGGGATGGGCTAGCTGAATATTTTCTCAGCAGTTTGTCTCAAGAAAGGAAACACTAAGCTCCAGACACGTGGGCAGCTAATGGGAATAAACTGCATAAATACCTTGCTGTAATCATCAAAGTTTAGTACAAAACAAGCGAGAGATTTGGATAGGGCCTGAAGAGTTAGGCCTAGGAGGTGTAAAACAATTGGGGAGAAT